TTTTTTTTTTCCTTCTGACTTTGTTGTTGTTTTTAACTGCTGTTGGTCAATCTGAATTGGGATGATCCCACGTACAATGGAACAAAACTCTACTTGGTCCTGCACACTGTGGTCTGTGCGGACTGCTGTGGTCCAATGGGGTTTCCACTGATTGCAGTCAGTCACCAGGACTTTCTTTCAGTGTTGCTAGTTGCTGTCAAGCTGATTCTGACTGAGCTTGAGGAGGAGAATTGCTTCATAGGCTTTCTGAGTCTGTGGACTTTCAGACACAGATCACCAGGACTGTCTTCTGAGGTATCTCTGTGTGACTTTGAACCACCAACCTTTTAGTTAGTAAAACATCCAAAGCCACGGCCATTGAGTCAATTATGCCTCACAATGACCCTGTATAGATTTTCTGAGGCTGTAAATCGCTATGGGTGCAGAAACCCTCATCTTTCTTCCTCAGAGGTACTGGTGGGTTTGAACTGCTGACCTTGTTGTTAGCAGTCCATTGCTTTTGACTTGTAGTTAAGTATTTAACAATATGTTCTGTCTGGGGACTTCTCTTTTTCAAAATGTTGCAACAGCCACTATGAAATCAAACCAAAAGAGCCTTTGTCCCTTGAAATTTTGAGGATCCAGCTACTCATTCTTTTAAATCTTTCCTCCTTACTGTGTAAAAAAGATTACATAATTAACAGGCTTTTAATTATAGGGAAATCACCACATGACCCACATTCATTTTTAAAAAGCATTTTCTTTCTCTTTGTAGTATAATTAAAATAAAATAATTGACCTAAATCATTTTTGTAACTTTTGGGGAATCCTTATCACTGGTGTGGTGCTGTAGGATAAGCACTGGACTGCTAGCAACAAGGTTGGTGCTTCAAACCCACCAGCTGCTCATTGGAAACCCTAGAAAGGGTCACTGTGAGTCTGAACTGATGAAGTGATACTTAACAACAACATCAACAACACTCACTGTAAATTAGAAAGTTAGTATTTGTTCCATTAGGTTGAATTTCACACCTTTCTGTTAGCTGAATTAAGACATAACTGTAGGATGTGTGAAGATGCCTACATACCCATATGATAATTGTGATGGATTAGGTTCTAACAATGGAGCCCAGTAGCGCAGTGGTTTATTCATTGCCCTGCTCACTGAAAGGTCAGCAGTTTGAATCCAGCAGCCCCTCTGCAGGAGAAAGATGAAGCTTTCTGCTCCCGTCAATATTTACAGCCTCGGAAACCTTATGCAGAGTCACTATGAGTCGGAACCAACTCGATGGCAGGCTGCAGCAGCAACAGCTTCTAACAGAGAAGGTGATAGATATGTCAGAAAAGGAAAGACAAAGTTTAACATCCAAGTACAAAAGTCAAAACCATTACTAGGAAAGGGTTTAGATTTACTATGCCTCACTGTCAAAGAGAAACTAAACAGATTGACAAATTCAGCATCTACAAGGACATCGGATTCATACTGAAAAAGAGGGCCACCAAGTGGGGTTTGGAGGTGAATAGACTATAATACAATACACTTTTATGTCATTAAAATTAAGGGTGAGAAAAGAAGCTCTATTAAATTACCTCAGACAGTATCTTTCTACTTATACAATATTAACAGGGCACCGTTCACAACAGCTGTCTCAAGAACTCTAACAAACCACTTGTTTAAATTAACGTAGATAGCTACAATTAAATCAGCATTTTATGTCCCAAGGTAGCTTGGCCCTAAAGAACAAGTCTTGTTCAAGACTAAAATGACCTTTTGTGACAGTCTGGCCTGGCCAGTATGTCCTTCAAACAGGGAAGATCATTTCAGACTAAGGACAAACATGTTGAACAGATAAAGACAGCAAGACACTTGCCAGACGTCCTGTGATTGGCTAAAAGTAATAGGAAACAACAGATTATGCTGCTTCAAAATGGTAATTTGGATGTCAAGGAAATTAGGGTCCCTTTACTAACTTCTGGAGACCTGTGGATCTATACAGTAAACACTTGACTGGTAGCCACAAGGTCAGCAGTGCAAACCCATCAGCCGGAGAAAGATGAGGCTTTCTGCTTCTGTACAGGGTCGCTATGAGTCGGAAAAAATTTGATGGCACCTAATAATAGTAACCTTTTAGATTCCTGGATGTTATAAATGATTATGTGCTTGAAATAACCAAAAGGTTAAAGGTTCAAAGTCATGCAGAGATGCCTTGAAAGAAAGACTGGTGATGTACTTCTGAAAAATCAGTCATTGAAAACCCTGTGGAACCCAGTTCTACTCTGACACACGTGGACTTAACTTGATGTCAGCTGGCACTGGTACCAGTACCACACAGAGTTTTCGTCTAAGCAGCTCTCTAACCCCTTGACTAGACTGGGATCCTCCCCAGGGCAGGGAGCTGCCTGGTCATCTCTAGCACCTTTATGTTCAAATGTTTACTGTGGATGTTGGTGATGTGGTTAGTTAGAAAAATAATTAATTAGTTAATTAGAGAAATTTAGAAGGCCCAAAACACCAATTCCTCTGACAACTGAGCAATTGATGCTTTGTCTTACTTAATGTGGGCAAATTCCTTCTCTACAGAAGAAATAAATATAAAATGACTACAAAAATGTACTTATTCTATCAGTTTATTAAGAAAAAAACATTTGTTTGTTTAGAAAACAGAAAAAGGTATAGTCACCAGAAGATTGAAGTAAGTCAAAATTACAAATGAATCTTCAGATTCTCAAATTTGTTTTTGGTTGAAATTCATGCCAATCATATTACCATTTACAAGAGTCCATGCTGTAGAACAAATCTTATGTGATGTGAGCAGTTATTGCAGGTAAAATTATTCTATGGCTTTAATAATTTGTGGAAACTCTAGGTGAAGAGATTTCTTTATTATAGGAATTCTCCTAATTTTTGAATTATGGCAACATGCTTTATGACTCTTCAAGCTTGGAAGGCTGCTGGTGAGAATTTATTACCTAATATTCCCCACATAACTCTTTTTAGTGAGCATCTACAGAGATAAGTCTTCTGAGGAACATACTTTGGGAAATGCTGATTCAGACCCATTTCTAATGTAGGCTCCTTCTGTTAGAGAAATGTCACCATTGGAGACCTGAATTAGAAGACCTGTGATTCTGTCAAAGTCTCTGGAATGGTAGGTCTCACTCCTGGCTGTTCTCCACAGCTTTGAACAATTCCAGTGTCCGTGTCCCACCCCAAAGTCAGTCTCTGGAGGGGACGGGAGAGGTTGGACACTATAAATCTTTAGAACTCCCCAGGGAATTACAATTTGTGTGCAGGTTTGGAGTCAATGGTCAAGCATGTTCATATCTTCATTTTTAACTGTTTTAGGCAGAGACAAAGCAGAAGAGTTGAAAGATTTGTTGCTGGCATTACAAATGTTTGTTCCCCCTTGGCATTTGCTTGTGAGACTGCAATAGAGTTGATTTGTTTTCCATTTTCTTCTGTTTGTTTTTTTCTCTAAATAGCATTTTATGCTGAGACTCTCCCAAGGGACTTAATTACTGTCCTGTTGCACCATGGTATGTCTTGCTTGGATGACAAACCACATAACCATTTACCTGGAAGCCCCTTGGCCTCATGGATAAAAGTTGTTCAAGGTATCAACAAGCAATACAACATGAGCCTGCAAACTTCCTTGATGCAGACATAAAATATATTCTCTATTACTGTCCGTGAATAGTGACCACTGTCAGTAAACCTGAGAATTGCTGGTGCTGTGTGGCTGAGGAGCTTGGGGGTAGCTCATGGGCTGTCTTCACATGCAATGTCTCTTTGATTCTTCTTTATTTCCAGAATTGGAAGCCAGAAGTGAATCTGAGGAGTGAAAAGGTAAATGAAGGAGCATTAGAGTCAGTTCAAACATCTACAACATAAACTTTTTATTGTGGGGTTATTGGTGTCCGGAAAAATTTCAAAAGACTTGAATGAGCCTAGAGCTTTATTGTTGTCTTTTCTAGCTTATCTTTCTGAGGTGCCTAGGTTTTTTATTGTCTTTCAGCCACTTTCTAATTCTCTAAGTTGTAGATAACTGGTAACAACAAAACAAAGAATTCTTGTCCATGGACATACATAAATTTTGTCCTGTAGAGTGCAAGGGACTAAATCCCCCCTGCTCCTGTGAAGGAGGTCAGTTTTGCATTTTTTAAACAAATTTATTATACAGTTCTGGGTGGTCTGTGTGTGTGAGTGTGTTGAATTCTTTAACTTTATGGTAATTTACTACTATTATTTCATTGGTTAATAGGTTATATAACATATTTGACATCTGTTTATATAAGAGTCATGAAGTTATCTGGTGTGGCACTGTAGGATAATCACTGGACTGTGAACCACAAGGTCAGCGGTTCAAACCCACCAGCTGCTGCTTGGAAATCTTGCACAGAGTGGTTATGAGTTGGAATTGACTCCACAGCACTTAACAACAACAACAAATATATGTATTTACATATGTATGTATTTAAAAGATAATGTATATATTTAAAGGAGTCTGGTAAAGTACTGGACTGTAAAGTTGGTTTGAACTGCAAGGTTGGTGGTTCAAACTCATCAGCCTCTCCTTGGAAATCCTATACAGAGTCTCTATGAGTCAGAACTGACTCGATGGCACTTAACAACAACAATATATATTTAAAAGATAATAAATACATACATGTGTATGTTGTTGTTGTTAAGTGCCATTGGAGCTCTGGTAGCATAGTGGTTACGAATCGGGCTGCAAACCACAAGGTCAGCAGTTCGAAACTACCAGCTGTTCCGCGGGAGAAAGATGAGGCTTTCTGCTCCCATAAAGATTTACAGTCTCAGAAACCCTGTTCAGGGTTGTTATAAGTCGGAACTGACTCCACGGCACATAGCAACAATTATATATATGTATATGTGTATATATACACACAACATATATATACACACACATATATATGTTGCTGTTATACATGGAGTCCTAGTGTGGCACTGTAGGATAAAGTTCTAGACCACAAGGTGGTTTTGAACCACAAGGTTGGTCATTGATAGCCCCCAGGTGCTCTTGGAAACCATATACAGGGTTAGTATGAGTGGGAACTGACTTGACAGCACTCAACAACAACATACATATACAACTCTTTGCAAAGGGTCTTCAAAAAGGTCATGGAAAAATTCTATTATCTTAAATTTCATTAACTTTTTGAAGCCCCCTTATGTATGCATATATCGTCGTTGTTAAGTGCTTTTGAATCAATTCTGACCCATAGTGACCCAGTGTAGGGTTTCGGAAGCAGAAAGCCTCATCTTTCTCCTGCAGAACAGCTGGTAGTTTTGAACCTTGAGGTTTGCAACCCGATTCATAACCACTACGCTACCAGAGCTCCTTAAACATATATATATATATATATATATAGTATATTTTATATATTATGTATACATATACATATACAGAGTCCTGGTGTGATGCTGTGGGTTACTGCACTGGACTGCAAAATCACTTTGAACTGCAAGGTTGGTGGTTCAAGCTCATCAATTGCTCCTCGGAAACCCTATACAGAGTCGCTATGGGTCGGAACCAACTTGAAGGCACTTAACAAGATCATACATATTTATTTTAACACTGGAGCAAAGTATTTGGAGTTTACCAAGCTACCATAAGTAGTTACTTCCTCTCTGTTATTTCTTTATCCTTGACCTGGGAAGACAATCTTATAACTGATTCCTTTAATTGTCAATAAAGAGGGCATTGCTGGTAGCTTCTCTGTTACATGACAGAGCACCCTCACTTGAAACCAATATGTTGAAGGCTATCTTATAGAATGCTCTGGACATGTCTTTAACTCCTAAAACTAAGATGTTACATCTGTTAATTTGTCTCCCCCAGCGTCCCCTCTGTTGCTGGGATAGAAACTCTGATAAGAGATTGGAGAGTGTTTTGAAATCCCCTTGCCATTTGTCCTTCAAACTCAAAATGTCCAGAAGTGGAGCTGCTTCCCTGCCTTGACCTTACCTGTGTAAGATACAGATACAGCTTCTTATTGACTTCTCCTGGTAGCTGCTTTGACCTTTTCTTCAGTAGCTTTGCATGTAGGTATTGAATACGCTCTCTCTCTACACTGGGGTAGAAAGATGTTGTCACCAGGATTTTAAGTTGCATCAGAATAGGTGACAACAGCCCCAGCACTCCCAGTACCACAAGAATAATAATAAGAGGAATCCAGATCTTAGAAAGAAGGAGCTTTGGATTGGGGATGCAATCAGGTTCAAACAGAGCTATATTAAAGGAAGAATCATTAACGATACGTTGGAATCCTTGCACCTAAAACAAAAGAATAAAGAAATCAAGATCCATGTTATTTAAAACTCAATCCCTGTCTTTCTCAATAAACTGTTCTGCAATTTGTAGCATTTATCCTAAAATCTACAGGGAGATTTGGCTAAAGAACTAGACCACTTTATTTTGTGTGTTATGATTGGAGCAAAGGAGAAGAAATGAGTCTTATTTGTAACTATAGCAGTGTTTTCCAGAATGAATCTGTAGACATACAGATTTTCTTAAGAGAAGGGTTTCATATATGTTTGCCTATTCTTTCATGTCTGTGAAGTCGTGATGCCTACTCTATTATTGAGAAGTTCTGAAGCAGAGAAATCTGTTTAACTTCAGCCAGCATTTTTCCTAACAGATTTGATCACATAACCCATTTTCATGGAACACCTATTTCTACAACGGAAGGCACACTGCCTAATTAAAGATGATTTTAGTTCAACTTGGGGAGATTGTCTTGCAGCTATAGCCCCTTAAGACCCAATCATATCTTTCAGTCTGTCAGACACCCTTTCAGCGGGCCACAACACTACAAAGATGCTTAGGAAGTAAAATATGCTCTAAGCCTTCCAGCATTTGTTGTTGTTGCGTGCTGCTGAGTTGACCTTATAGTATAACTGTCTACAGGGTTTCTTGGCTGTAGTCTCAAGAGCCAATTGTCAGGTCTTATCTTTCTTCGAGTCACTGGATGGGTTCAAGCTACCAACCTTTCAGTTAGCACTGAGTGCTTAAATATTTGCCAGACCAGGGCTCCTTTTAGGCACTTGTTGTTAAGTGCCATCGAGTCAGTTCTGACTCACAGAACCCTGTATAGGGTTTCGGCGAGCATCCATGGGTTGCAGATAGCAATCTAGTACTTATCCTATGGGAACCACACCAGGACTCCTTGTAGGGGCATTATTTGCATTTTGCCCCTTTCCAGGTTCTTCAGAACCTGGACTTCAGAACATACTTTATGTGGACGTCAGAACATACTTTACTGAAGGGAACTCTAAAATCCTGTTTGGGGCAGGAGGACTTCAAAATAGGACATTTGAAGATGTCCTCTTGGGTGCTCAGAGGGTGCATTTTTCCCAGTTGGAAGCAAGGGAACAAGCCAGTTGCCCTCGTCAGAACTGACACAGAGGGCAGAAGATGACATTGAGCCACGAGTCACGCCACCAGCAACAGAAGTGGGTGTTGATTCAGCTCTTTCTTCCCTCTGACTTGGGAAAGTCATTTCACCTCTCAGTGGATTTGTTTTCTAATTTAGTAAAACAGGAATTAATGGACCAAATCCTGCCCGTGAATAAACTACTCCCAGTGTAAATTAAGCACCTTGGGGATGGAGCATTAACCTTACAGAACTGGAGTACTTAGTAAGTTATCATCACCCCAGTGCCACAGAGCCCTGGGTCAGGAAGAGGCAAATCACTTCTCAAAAAGAACTCAGCCACACCCAGAGAACATGCTGCCATCTTGGTCCACCCAGTTCCTGTGAAGAATCTGCAAACCCAAACCTGGCAAATATCTATGCAAAAGTCAGGGCGATTCTCTCATTTCCTCAGCATAGAACCTCAGTAATAATAAGCATTGTGCTGCTGTTCCTTTTCACTTATTAAAAAAACAGTCTGTCCACAATTAAATAGAGAGATTTAGGGCTTCAGAGTACAAGCATGCACTCTCTAGTGAAGAAAAAGCATCGATTGAGTCAGAGATGAGGAATCCTGCAATCAGAAAACAGCGGGTGTTCAGTCTGCAAAGAAGTTAATTTAGTCTAGGAATCTAACCAGGGATTTTGCATTTGGGAGTCCGGGTTTTATAAAGGTTGAGTCAACAGTTTAGTATGGGGTTGGTTGAGGGTAAAGTGGAAGACAAATTAAAAATTTTTAAATGTTGAGCAATATACTAAATGGTACCCTGATGTCTTCAAAAGAAACCTTGGTGATGCAGTGGAGAAGCATCCAGCTGTTAACTGCAAGGTCAGCCGTCCTAACCCACCAGCTGCTCCATGGGAGAAAGCTATAGCAGTCTGCTTCCACAAAGATCATTGTTCTTGTTAAGTGCTGTCGAGTCAGCTCAGACTCATAGCGACCCCGTATTGGGTTTCTGAGGAGCAGCTGGTGAATTTGAACTGCTAATCTTGTGATTCAAATGGACCTTGTGGTCCAGTGCTTGTCCTACAGTGCCAAGATGACAGGCTTGGAAACCCTATGGGGCAGTTCTACTCTGTCACTGTCAGTTGGAATTGACTCAGTGGCAATGGGGTTGGTGTTTTGGATGTTTGAAAATGTGTTTACCACTTTAAATTAAACCATTTGGGAAGAAAGCACTGAGTTCGGGGTGGAGGACAGACTGGTGTCAGACAGTCCTGGTTTGATCCCAGCTGTGTCCCTTTTAGCTGGGTGATCTTGGTCAGTTTGTATAAACTCTTGGACCTCACCGTATTTAACCTCATAACAGCCGTGCAATGCAGGCCTGCTATTGTCACTGTTGGGTGCTGTCAAATTGATTTTAACTCATAGCACCCCTTTGTGATAGAATAGAACTGCCCAGCGGATTTTCTAGGTTGTAGGAGTCCTGGTGTGGCGCAGTGGGTTAATGCATCAGACTGCAAAGTTGTTTGAACTGCAAGGTCAGCGATTCAAGCTCACCGGCTGCTCCTTGGAAACCCTATAAAGGGTCACTATGGGCTGGAATTGACTCAACAGCACTTAACAACAACAACAACAACAAGTCTTTATGGTAGTCCTAGCAAGGAGTCCTGGTGTGGCGCCGTGGGTTCATATGCCAGACTTCAAAACCATTTGACCTGCAAGGTTGGTGGTTCAAGCTCACCAGCTGCTCCTCGGAAACCCTATACAGGGTTGCTATGGGTCAGAATCGACTCAATGACACTTAACAACAACAACAAGTGTGGCACTGTAAGAGAAGCACTGGACTGCAAGATTGGTTTGAACAGTAAGGTTGGCTGTTTAAACCCACCAGCCACTTCTTGGAAATCCTATATAGGGTGACCATGATTTGGAACTGACTCGACGGCATTTAACAACAACAAATGTGGTGCTGGAGTCCTAGTGTAGCAACTGTACTGCTAATTGCAAGGTCGGCAGTTCAAATCCACCAGTCACTCATTGGAAACCCTATACAAGGTCGCTATGAGTTTTAACAACAGTAACAACGTGGCTATGATTCCTTCCAGTGCCCACCCATCTAGCTAATAAAATGTGGGCTATTTCTCACCCTTCTTCTTATAAGTAATTTTTAAAAATCATATGAAGATGAGAGAGAAATATTGTCAAAACTGATGTTTCACTTCCCGCCTGACTTCTCCTTTGCAAATCTGCAGCAGAAGGAGAAGACTGGGAGCTTCCAAGGGCATCCTGGGATAAGGGCAGGGTGTTGCCAGTCACGCAGAACCAGCTGCTGGTGTGTACGGTCTCCCAGCTCCGGCTGGAGTGAGCTTGAGACACACTCCCTCAGCAGTCTTGTCTGCTCCATTGCCAATACCCCTGCTGTCACCTTTGCGGACAGGGTGGTCTCCTGCACCAGGGTGTGAGCCCCTTTGTGGCAAAAGCACAGCCTCACCATCTTTGCATCCATACACCCAGCAATGTCCCAGCATGAACTTGACAGAACATTGTCATTGGAAAGCTTCTGAGCTCTGTTTTGGAAGGCAGAACTTGCTTTGTTCCCTCCCTTCATCTCTTCCCAAAACAGAATGAATTCAAAGCAGGCAGGGCATTGGCTGGGAGATAAACATATGAGTTGTTGCTAGTTGCCACTGAGTCGATTTTGATCACAGTGATCCTATGTGATGGAGTAGAACTGCCCCATGGGGGTCTGTTGGCTGTAATCCTTATTTGTCCCACAGGCTGCTGTGTGGGTTCAAACCACTAACCTTTTGGTTAACAGCAGACTGCTTAACCATTGCACCACTAAGCTCCTTAAATAAATGAGGGAGACATCAAAAGGGAAAGAGTGCAAGATGGAAAAGAGAATGGGGAAAGGGGTGCTTGTACTAGCCACCCCTCAAGATTCAGCATATTTGAAATTCTTGTTTGGCTTTCATTGGAAGCACCTCTTCCATTATCCAATATATTCACTGCTCCAAATATCAGGAGCAACAGGCTGTCTTGTAATTAACTGAATTCTTCGGGGGAAGCAAAGTGTTCTGAGTAATCAATGCTGAGAGAAAGCCTGACCTTAGGAAGGGCAGCAGCTGAGGGGGGTGGGCGGGGTGCACTGTTCCAGCTGAGCCAGAAAAAGGGGAGAGAGCATGTGTGGATGCGGTAGGAGGATTCAGGTCCTGGGAGACAAAGACAGAAAAGGAAAGGAGAGTTTCCTAGGAGAGTTTTCAAGCCCCATTTTTGCAACTTGTTCTCTAAGATTTCCACACACCCCAGCACAATCTATTGCACAGGATCAAGAAATTGTTACTGTTACTGTTAGTGCCTTCAGTGAGTTCTGACTCACAGTGACACTTATAGGGTTTCCAAAGAGTGACTGATGAGTTTGACCCTCTGATCTTCCATTTAGTAGTCCAGCTATTGTGTTTTCATGAGCCTGCTCTAATGCAAGCAATCTCAACATGCTTGTAAAACAACAGATACACACAAACACAAACACAGACACCCCCACCTCCCGGTACAACTTTACATTCTCTGGACTTAAAAAGGAAAAGTCTAGAGCCCCTAAAATGACAGCATTTGCACAGGAGGAAATTAAAAAGAAAAGATGTAAAATGGAATTCCAAGATACTAGCTCAGAGAAAGACACTGTCTTTACTAAGATTTTCTCAGATCCCTCCACTGGCTTTTAGAAGTTAAACTCCTGCCTCCATTCTTTGGGTGGTGGGTATAGAACACTGGTTCTCAATTTGGGCTGCACATTGGAATTACTTGTGGAGAGTCTTCAAATCCCAATATTCAGGCCTAACCCCAATCCAATTAAATGAGAATCCCTAGAGAACCAGAATAAAGCATTGGGTTTGTTTCTTGCTTATTTGCTTGTTCAATGATGACACTGCACATAACGCTGCAGATGACTGGACTAGAAGAACCTTGCTTTTCCAGCATCTAAATCAGAGTTTCTTTGGAATCATATAGACAGGGCTTATTAAACATTCTCCCAGATTAAAGCAAAATCTCTGTAAATGGAGGTCTGAGACTCTGCTTCTCTCCCTGGAGATTCTTAATGCACTCTGAATGTGGAGAACCACTGACTTAAGTTATCCAAATAAACCCAACAGATAGCTGAGTACCATTTTAGTACAAGTTGTTGTTAAGTGCTGTCGAGCCAGCTCCGACTCATAGGAACCTTCATAGGGTTTCCGAGGCTCGACTGGTGAGTTTGAACTGCTGATTTGAAGTTAAAATCAACCTTTTGGTCCAGTGCTTTATCCAACAGCACCACACCAGAAGCTCTCATTTTAAAACTGAAGAGAGATGGAAGCTGGAACACTTCAGTCCTTTGCTTAACACACACACACTTTTTTCAGTGGATGCTATCTGCTACTGGTGGTGTTGGTTGTGTGATGTTGAGTCATAGTAAATCTATTTGGAAACAGAAATCTTCATCTTTCTCCTAAGGAGTGCCTGGTGGATTTGAATTGCTGATCTTGTGGCCACTATGCCACCAGGGCTCCTTTACCTGGTACTATTATTGTTGTTGTTATTACATGCCATCAAGTCAGTTCCGACTCATAGTGACTCTGTACAGGGTTTCTGAGGAGCAGCTGGTGGATCTGAACTGTCAACCTTGTTCAAAGTCCAGTGCTGATCTTACAGCATCAAACTAGGAGTCTTGCCTGGTACTGTTATTGTTGTGAAGTGCCATCAAGTTGGTTCCGACTCAGAGCGACCCTGCATAGGGTTTCCAAGGAGCAGTTGGTGGGTTTGAACTACGGACCTTGAGGTTAGCAGTCCAGTGCTGATCCTACAGCACCACACCACGAGTCCTGCCTGGTACTAGTGTCCATTATATTATTCAGTTACTTAGGAGCCATTTTCAGGAATTATCCTCCTAAAATCTATGCTGACATGCTTGATAAAGACTCAGGATATGTAGAAGACAGGTTCTCATTCGGGTTCAAAACCTACTTACACAACAAGTCTGAGGTGAGAGGAAGTCAGCTTCTAAATGATGGCCTCTGATGTTCAACTTGATAGTGGTGCCATGGTTAAGCACTCAGATGCTCACCCAAAGGTTGTGGTTTTGAGCACACCCAGTAGGTGTGTGGGAAAGAGACCTGGCGATCGCCTCCTAAAGATTCCAGTCAAGTCACACGGGGCCAGTGCAAGTCAGAATTAACCCGATAGAATTTAACAACAACAGATTCCTTCTACTTGAGAACTAACTTCATGTTCAGCATCAGAGGCACCTCTCCCCACATTGTAGTGTTTGATGACTGCAGCAGGCTACAAAATGCTCCCCAAAGATATCAAGTCCGAATCCCTGAAACCTAGCAATGTTACTTTATTTGGTAAAGAGGTTGTGAAGATTTAATTAAATCAAGGATCTTGAGATGGGGAGTTTAACCTGGATTATCCAGGTGGATCCTTAAATGTAATTCCATGTATCCTTATAAGAGAAAGACGAAAGGGCATTTTTACACGCATGGAGAAGAAGGCGCTAGGAAGATAGAGCAGAGATAAGAGTGATGCAGCCACAAGCCGAGGATGCCCACCTCCGTTAGAAGCTAGGAAGATCAAGGTGTGGATTCTCCCTAGAGCCTCCAGAGGGAGTATGGTCCCTACATACTCCCTCTGGAGTCAAGTCAGAACCAACCCATAGCGATCCTGTCCAGGGTTTCCGACGAGCTACTGGACCTACTGGTGAGTTTGATCCACCAACAGAGTGGTTAATACTAACTTTGTAGTCCAGCACATTAACACACATGACACCACACCAGGACTCTGATATCAGCCTTGTTGTTTTTGTTGTTAAGTGTTGTAAAGTCGATTCCGACCCATAGCGACCCTGTACAGGGTTTCTGAGCTTGTAAATCTTTACAGGAGCAGAAAGCTTCATCTTTCTCCTGTGGAACAGCTGGTAGTTTCGAACTGCTGACGTTATGGTTCACAGCCCGATTTATAACCACTACGCACCTAGTGACACTAATTTTGGACTTCTGGCCTTCAGAACTGTGAGAAAATAAATTGTTGTTGCTTTAAGCTTTTCAATTTGTGATACTTTGTTACAGCAGCCACAAGAAACTAATAGAGTAACCAGAGGACTTCAGAACAACACCGTACTCTTACCTCAGAACTCTAAATTAATTTTACCTACACTTACAGAGGTCTTTCCACTGGGGATTCGAAGGTGAAGAAGGTACTGTCCCTATCTTGGGAAAGGAGTACTAGTGGCCTAAATGATTAAGTATTCAGCTGCTAACCAAAAAAAGTTGAAATCCATCTGGAGTCTCTGCCGGAGAAAGATGAGGTGATCTGCTCCCATAAATGTTACAGCAAAGAACATCCTACGGGGCAGGTCTTCTTGGTCACAAGGGGTTGCTATGAGTTGAAACCAACTTGACAGAACCCAACAACTGCTTTGGGAAGTTCATGATCTTTTGAAAATCAGACAAGCAAGTAACCATGCAAGAAGTGCCCCGTCGGCACCTACCTCTGTGTGCAGTTTCAAGTGAACCGTCAGCTCTGGCAAGCTTTGGAAATGTTTGCTCACGGAGAAAATAAGCCGATAAAGCAGATAGTCTACAGCTGCAAACAGCACCCAGATGCAGAAATGAATAAGTATGGGGAGGAAAAACAGCCCCAGGTTTTTCCTCTCCTTAGGAGTCAGACAGAAAGATGGAATGACGACATATGCCTTCTGTTCCTTCTTAGTCAGCGGAAAGACACAGGGCCTCTGTTGGAGCCTCTCCTCTTCATCAAATTGAACAAATTGTCTAGTGATGTAGATGTTTTCAAACTTTGAACCATGAGGGCCCAAAAACCGCTTCATGAAGAGGCCAGTGCCAAGTAGGACCAGCAAAAGCCCAGCGATGACAAACAGCCTCTGACCAAGAGAAGACAGTAGGTCAGCCGTGGTCACCACTTGGTACATCACTTGCAGGACTTCCATTCTCGTGTCATTTAGCTTCGCCTTCACTGCTTCACTGGGACTGAAAAGTGAGACCGCCAGAGTCTGATTCCAGGAAACCAGGTTATCAAATAGACTTAGTGGATGGTCAAGGCCATAAATCCACTGAATTGCTTCAATATATCGTCTCAAAAGTGGAAAATGTATGGAAAAGCTCTTTGCCTTGAGGTTGCAAGTCATACTGTCTAGAAGACCTTTAAAGTTGTGAAAAATGTTTTCCACGTGTCCAAATATCACTATCCCTGTGCCGGCTGCGATCAAAGCATTCCTGCCTTCACGTAGGCCACAGGAGAGAAAGAAGAGAAGAATGAAGCATCGTGCAGGCTTGGAGCAACACAGTGGGACACACATGACAATCCAGGAGATGGTGAACACCAAGAATGATGACAAAAACCAGAAGAAGGCCACAGAGAAGAAGCTCACTAAAAGGAAAGCAACAAAACAGCAGACACCCAGGTGCTGGAGGAAGTCCATCCATCCAGGGCTCCTTGGACACACGAAGATCCCCCAAAGACTTAGGAAGATATTGGTGCTGAAAGTCCAGACATGCATGCTCCCCGTGTCCCTGGAAATAATAATAATAAAAAGACAAGGTCAGGAGTTGCTTTTTTAAATCCTCTATTGTTTCGGTAATGTCATTATGGTAGACAAATTGCAAACAAATATCCATAATTCTTTACCCATTCCTGTATCCACACCCCTCACAATGTGACTTTATAGTTTCTCCAATCAAGAGGAGGGAGAAATAAACTCTCTAGAAGTGATGTTTATTTCTTGAATAGAATGGAATAGAATGTGTCAGAAGTGACTGTGTGCCAGTCCTGAGCCTATGACTCACTCCTGCTTGTTTTCTTGAAACCCTATTATTACCATGTTAACAAGTCCAGATGTATTAGTTTCAAATTACTGCTACAACAAATCACAACCAACTTAGTGGGTAAAAGAAACACGTGTGTTACTGTCTTATAGCTTTGGGTGCCTGAAGTCGAAGACTACATACCTTCTGAAGGCTCTATGAGAGAATCTATTTCCTAGTCTTTTCCAGCTTTCTAAAGGCTACACACATTCCTTTGCTTATGACTCCTTCCCATCTTCAAAGTCAACAACTTGATTGTGTCTGCAAATTCCCGTTTACCATGTAAGTTAATATAGTCCTAGATTCCAAGGACTAGGAAATAGACATCTTTGGGGGCTATTATTCTACCTACTACACAGGGCTAGACTGTTGGATGAACAGAACATGACCAATCAACCCCATTAACTCAGCCAACTACCCAACAGGTGGGAGAGGCCACGCTAGACTAGTCAGACCCCAGCCAACCCACAGCGGATCACAGATACATGAGTAGTAATAAATGTTTATTGTTTTAAGCCACTGAATTTCTGGTGGTGGTTTGTTAGGCAGCAATTGTTCACGGATAACAGCAATAATAGTATTTCAATAATGGTCAGGCTGAAATTTCAATAAACTGCATTATGCAGGATCACGCTTCATAGCCATCTATTTCCTTGTGTTCTAACTTTATAGACAGAAAGTATATCAAGGGCATCCAAATGTAAACGTGGACTTGGATTGAGCTCATTTATCTTTGCTCTATAACTATTGCTGCTGCTATTCCTGCCTTCTTCATCTTCTGATTATTCTAAAATATACATATATGTATATATAGCACATTTGCCAATTCAACATTTTTTCCATGTACAACTCAGTAACGCTAATTACATTAATTATGTGCAATCATCATCAGTATCCTTTGCCAAGTTTCCTATCATGATAAACAGCTACTCAATGCTTCCGAGTGTCTGATGATCCAATAATCAAGGTAAGCATGGGCTTACTTGTGCTTACTTACCGATCTATCTTGAACAATCTCACATTATTTACCACATCAAAGATTCTGCTTCTAGGTATGGCTGGCACCTGTCTCTCTCCTAACCCCACATCACCGTCCTATAGATTCAGAACCTTATTTCAAATTTACAATACCTGGCAGGGAAAGAGTACCCAGTGGGCAAGATAAGCCAATGCTTGCTCACCGTGCTTATTGAGAAATTCACACATGTTGCTTCCCAAGCAACAGCGGCCCCTTTCCGTCTCCCTCCTCACAAATACGTTTTGTGTAAACATTGTATCTTCATTCTCCTGTCCCTAGCTTCCAAGCACATTTTCCTCCTGAGAATCTTACAAGGAAAATAAGACTATGTTTGTCATTGAGTTTACCATTTTTTCTATCTATTCCCAAATGTGGAATAATTTAGATGACAGTGTAATCAGCAACCCATTATTGTTTTGGTCTGTGATGTACTCAGAGAGCCTTGGTCATTTGGAGTGATATAAAACACATTTGAGATTATTCTGTCTTGATTGACAGACATGAAAATGCCAACTGAGTATATGGGATATATATACAGGATATTAATGAGGGCATTGGTCAATTTTTAAGCACTCTCAAATAAATCCCTTCTCACATCAAATATGATGAGACTGCTAACCACAAAGTTGGTGTTTCAAACCCACTAGCCACTCCTTGGAAACCCTACTGTTGTTCTTACGTGCCGTGGAGTTGGTTCTGACTTATAGAGACCCTGTATAGGGTTTCTTTCTGCAGTGCATAGGGTTGCTATGAGTCAGTACTGACTCAATGGCACCTAACAACAACAACATAGGGTTTTCAAGAAGTGGCTGGTGAGTTTGAACCACCGACCTTGTGGTTCAAACCAACCTTGCAGTCCAGTGCTTTATCCCACAGCTCAATGCCAGGACAAGGTTGCTATGAGTCAGAACCTTAATAACACTTAATGACACTTAACAACAACAATAACACATTCATCTGGAACTCTGGTGGCACAGTGCTTGGCTACTAACTGAAAGATCACAGGTTTGAATCTATCAGCTGCTCCAAAGCAGGATGATGTAATTACAGCCTTGGAAACCAGGTGTCGGCAGAGCTGCTCTGTCTGAAGAGTGGTAATTGACACCACAGCAATGGATTGTATTCTTACTGTTAGAGCCAGTGAATCACACTCCAGTGTGAGAAAGGAATCCAGGCTAGAGGGCATGAATTGAGCAATCAACGAAGAGGAATTACACCCACTCCTCACTTAGCCACAAGACCAGGTTGTTGGGTGAAATCAGCGTTATGTGAGATTTGGGCCATGCCCCAGCTAGTGGGTACCCTCAGCACATTTCAGATTGCAGGTGGCATGGCCAACTCCCTTTCCTAACCCTGCCTTCCCTACCACCATAGAACCTTCAGGGTTGGGGGTGATAGGGCTTGGGTGTTGCCTGTTGCCTACTGCTTCCTGCCATTCACCATGGGCAGGGACCCTGCTCATCCTCTGTCAATCCCTGCCCCAAAGCCCTGTGGTCATCTCCACCACCCGCCCCCTCCCCCCCATTGCTACCATCTATCCCCCAGCACCTCAGCTCCTTGCCTGACCTCTCCCTGAACGCCTGTGACTTCCCATAGACCCACTGCTGTCCTGTGTCCTTGAGGCCAGACTGAGTCATAGACGAATGGAAGAAGATGTCTCATCCATTTTACCGAGTCTCCTGTATGTCAGGGTGGCCTGCAGGGAATGTTCCAGGTTGGCACAGAGCCGCTTGAAGCCTGGACCATTAAAGGCTCCACCTGAGAAATTGTTCAAAGTTGAAAATCTGAAATGTTGGATGATGAGATAGGCAATAAGTGGAGTAGGTGGTCTTCTCTTTCTTTTTTGGGCTGAGTGAGACTACTGAAGGGCAGAAATGGGATGGGGAGATAGTCAGGTTAGGAATAAATGTGTATGTATTTCTCCAGGTACAATAACAAGGATTTACAGTGCCTACCAGAGTTATCTGAGTGGAAATAAGTGTTCAGGGCAGAAAAAAGAAACAGAAAGAACCTGAAGTCCAACGTAGGTTTATTACCATGAGGGACTGGCCTCTGTAGAGATTTGTGATCCACATAAGTTCTTACTCTATGGGAGGAAAGAGAGTTAGAATGTTCCATTCAGCCCCATTGGAGGTTGGAGACTAGCAAACAGATATAAAGTCTTTTTCCCTGCAAGTTGGCTCCCTTCCAGAATTAATGGTTGGTGTGACAGTCTGTTACATTCATCAACACAGACTGCACCCTCACTTTGCTCTGACCCCAGAGAAGATAGAGATAACCATTACCCATGGGTCCTTGTGCTTCTATACCTTTCCAGCATTGGCAACCCAAGTCAGATCCAATTCACTGCATGGCCAGGAGGATTTGATGAGTATTTGGGCAGTGGAAAGGACTCTCAGTACCAGAACAGAGTGACTGGAACCACCTCTACTGTCAGGCATGTCCCCATTAGAGGTCTCTGCTATCGCTTTGGATTTGACTGTTGTTGTGTGCTATCAAGTTGTTTCCAACTCATAGCGATCCTGTGAAGAGTGTCTGAGCGCACCGGTGGGTTTGAACAGCTGATCTTGTAGTTACCAATCCAGTGCTTATCCTTTTGTTGTTAGGTGCCTTTGAGTCAGTTACAATTCATGGTATAAAACACTGGACCACAAGGTCAGTTTGAATCACAAGGTCGGCAGTTCAAATTTACCAGCTGCTCCTTGGAAACTCTATACAGGGTTACTAGGAGTCGGAACCGACTCGATGGCACTAAATAACAACCACAACCAGGTGACACCTACTGACCTGTGGGCCTCTCTCTCCCCTGCACTGTGTCCAATTCCACAACTGAGTCATGTGACAGCGCTCTAGTTCACTGTGTTTATCTCTTCGAAACACATCACACTTACCTCCAATGACCCCTAAAATAGTGACTTGCATATCACAAACCCATTTCTAATATTTCACCTTTTTCTTTTCATGTATCAGAATAATTCATCCTTTAAGGATATGTCTTACAGCAGCAGGTTTTTTTCCTAAGCAAATCAGAAATCACAGCTGTTTTATTTATTTATTTTTTTGTAATTTCTTTTATGAGGCACCATTCTGCTTACTTTCAGAAAAATTAATAATGTATATTCTGGATTCATTTTTTCCTTCTCTTTGCCTTTATCCTTGTACATTATGTTCTTAACACAAATATTTCCCTGAAAGTATGAAACAGATTTATGTATGCATTAAAATTTTAACATCCTGCAATAAAATCTAATATCAATTAAATAAGATATATGACTGCAATTTTGTCCTGTATCAGGCACATGTTTTCTTAACAAGCAACAGTTCTAATATTATCCTCCTTGTTTTTGTGCAGAAAACAACATATCACCAAAAGGCACCCAAAGTCTCTGCACAGAAAGGACAAAACACACTCTCTTCTATTTTACAGCTCAAGCCACAGAGCAATGCTTTGGACTTGGACAGAGAATGAGCCCAGAGGGTGATGTTCAACCTACTCTTTGCATCATTGTTGAGTGTGGTCTTTATTTCTTCCCCATTCTCTGTTCCTCATTTTCCCTATTTGAATACATGATCTGCCTGAGCTGTTTCTCGGTGTGTTTTAATGAAGGGAACTTCAGCAAGTTCCTTAAGATTCCTTGAAAATAGTGTACAGAAAGTGCAACCTGTTTCTTCTTACTG